CACCAAATATCCTCCCCATTTGGCACGCCATCATGTTAGATTTGGCTGAGCGTTAGCGACATCTAGTTAGTGGAACACGTGTCCCAGAAGCGTACTTCGTATCTCGTACAGTCCAAGCGCTGTTCTGACTTGGTTTACCAACTCTTCTATAGACTACGTAACATAAGAACACTGATAGTGGTAGACTAGGAGGCGTAAGATAAAATAAGTGTACTATCGCATCGTCTGTGCTTGTTTAAATTTTCACCTCCCAAATCCACCTTGCCACTCACTGTAAGCTTCTTTTAGCTTTTTCAGTTCTACTGAAAATACCGTTTCTAATCAAATCATGCTCTGACTATGTGTTATCTCGCTGTTTAAGTAGGTTCCATTAAGTGAAACGATATGCTGCCTATATGTAAACATACTGATCCATAGGGACTAAACGCCAGAATACCTACTTTTTATTTGGAGGAACTTCTGTTGAAATGCACCGTATATGTTCCATTCTTCCGATATAGAAATATGTAAACAAAAGCAGGTGGTAACTGTAGGTTCATCATTGGGCTCGTTCCTTGAAGATTTCATGTCGAAAGTCAATTACACATGTTTGGAGGGAATGACCAACAAATTTGGATTTTACAAGGGATAGGTTGGTGATAATCTGATTATCCCCAGTAATAAAGAGATCTTGTAGGAGATGCTCTACATTTTCTCAGTAGCTGCCACACTGTAATCCAATTCAAACCAGGTAGGGGATTCGAGTGGAAAATTTGCTTTCTGGACATTCAACTCACCAGGTGTGGGAAGGATGGAACGCTGAGAAGATCCACAGAAAGCCGACGTAGAGTAGGCAACTCACAAACGTCTGCAGATGTGGCTTCAAATACAAAACGGGACCTGATCAGCACATTAAGTCACAGAATTCGAACATTCGTAGTCCTGGTCTCATATTTCGAAAACTATGAGTTGGTTTGGGACGCACGAGCTGGTAACAAGAGTGGTGGGCACCACCTGATTTCCCATACCGCTACTTGAGTGAGAATACGATGGGGGTGAGATAGAAAGATAATATTTACAAAAGGAAACAAAGAATAAGTGTGTGGGCCAATGACGTAGGCGTGAGAAGGGATAATTCATTGATAGTCTGTCTATTCATCTATGGGGCAACTGATCAGTCCATTATCCACTTAAGCCTGTCGACTTACGTATCACCTGACACCATGGAAGGGGAGCTGGGCACTCTAAGTTCGGTTCTTATCCCGATAGCTGCACAAAAAGCCATGGAGCCCGCATAACCAAAAGCACCCGTAACACTCTCTGTCCCGAAAACACCTCTATTTGCATCTGAAATTCTGTGAATCATCGGCAGGAATACTGTGAAGCCTCAAGTCCTGTTCATTGCTGACTGAGTTTCGTCTTACTTTCCCTACAAAATTAATGATTCGTGAGAATGTGAAGGATAAGTTATCACTGGCAGCCTCATTGGTATGCGTCCTTCAATTCATCTAATCCTGTGGAGATAAGTACACCGGCTATACTCAGCATTTGCTATCCAAATGTGTCATAGAGCATTTACCTTCAAGGTTATTTAAAGCAGAACGGTGAAAGCATGCACCTCTGACCTAGAACACCTAACCGACTCTAGACAATGCGTGAACCCACAAAACAACTTCAGAGTCAGCCTCAATGTACGCTGTTATTTTGCCAAAAGAGTGCGAATCAAAGTTCTTCGAACCACAGAAGCTATGGTAATCCACATGTTTAATCCCTGACACTTTATGCAGAAGTTCGATTGGTCACTAAGCCTACAATGGACTCAATCTGTCTCTACACATGATAACTGGTTTATGTTAATCGTAATTTTTCAGTTTTTGTGGTCGTATTATGTCCCCCTACAAAATTACATTTCTGATCCTTATGACACTGATCCTAACCTGACTCTATTTTGGTTACGTTCTACTTTTAGAGGCTCAGGATGTGGACTTTCACGGATAGTACGATGTATACTGACGCAAGATCTAATACCCACAACTTATGTAGTATTCGTTCCGCGTGAACCAGAGGCAAGGCAAAACAACAGAATTGATTGGCCAAATTACGAACTATATTTCGGGACCAAAATCGTAGTGCGAGGATGATTGCCTAACTAGCTAGGGATCGTGCATGAGTAACAACATAACACGATGGCGTGCCGAATGGCGTGGTTGCTTGACCGTAAGCCTTCGGCTGAACAAATCTACTAAAACAGTGAGGGTCAGCATCCAATGCTAGGTGACGAATACTGTGGCTAATAACTCTGGGGAATTACCTACTGCTACATGCCCAATCATGTCAGTCACATAACGTTACGCAGTTTACTTATTTGACTTTATTTGACCTTCTACCAAGATAACATTTTCTCTAATACGTAATTGTAACCTACGACTTACAATTTCACTGACACATCCCAGTCACAAGGTCATTTTTTGCTATAAAACTTTACTGTATATATGAGACTGTACAGCTGGAGAGTGATATCCCTGAACGGCTCTCGTTTTATGGGATGCAATACATATTCTTAATCTCACTAAAATGTGACTAAATTCCTGTGGCGTTCAGAATTAAAAGGCTGTGTTTTCAGACACACATGTTTGTTCCGCAGAAGCTATGGTGTTGGAACAAGAGTTATTGTCAAAAAAGATGATAGATTACGTTTTCAGGTAAAATTCTTCAATGCAATATTCTCATATTTCTATAAGTCTTTCAATTCAAGGATGACTACAGCACATAATATATCATAGTTTCGTAAGCTCTTTCGGTAGTGGAACGGTCATACCTTCTTCAAGTTGCGATTCTAATTCGTGGAACCTAACAGCGGAATAGTAGACAGGATACGCTAAATCATCATATAGGGAAAATATACATTTGTTTATAGGAGGTCGAACAGATTCATGGAAACCATCCAGCTTCAGGCATTTCAACTTTATCTTTCATTTGGTCGGTTTACTTGGTTAGAGGCCAATGCACTAGTTTGTGGTTGCTAAATATTTGAGAGAACAAGACAGCGGTGACCAAACTATGTTGTGGCTTAATACCTTTATAATTTTCATCAGCCCATTTACCAAAAGACACTAAATGAAAATTTTAGACATGATATTATACCTTTATTAGTTAAGTTGTGTTTAAGTAAAGGAGAACTCAAAGTTGATGCTGACTGCACTCTTAATCTACCCAGGATATTGGGTAAGACAGAACAGGAGGATACACAACAGTCATTGGTGTTATTATTGTTTGGGTCAAATAACAAGCTAGCTCAATTATCTCAATTATTTCAAGATGACTGTATAAAGCGTTTGAATTTAGTGACTATGTCGAAGTAAGACGGCTGAAATTATCCCGCATGCTCAAGGTCATTGATAGAGTGAGACGCTCAAAGGTCATTTTCGTCCATGTTAGTCGGTTGTGTTGGATTGCAGTTCCGTAGCCGTTCGTTTACACATTGGTTTTACGTCTGTTGGCATTTATAGGTGATTCCCATGTACTGATAGCATTCTTTTGTAAGATAGTACTGTTCTTCACACGAAAATAGCCACATTTTGACGTAGTCTTCATTGAATGACACTATGTCGAAAGCTGCAGCTTCTACAAGAAATAAACTATTTGTGTAGATGACATTACCCCCCAACTACCCCACCTTCTTCATTGTAGAGATGTTTTGACGCATTCAGCATGAAACACTAATCATTACAAGCAATATGCTAAGTGTGTCGCAGTCAGATTAAATGACGCGGACACCAACATAACTAGCCAGAAAAATGAGAATTCCTATCAATCCATAAAACATTTAACAAAATTTTATTGAAAATTATTGACAAAAAACATTTGCCGAGCGAAATTTCAACCAACATGCCGGATAAGTCCAGCCAGTAAGACTGATTTTATCAAGTACTTTTAGTCTTCTGTTGAATGTTTCAAACAAAGCTGAAAATACATTCTTGGATGGCGAAACTGGCGGTGAACGTTGGGCATTAACATTCCTGGTTGGCACTAGACTAGGAGTGATAACAGAACAGGTTTAAATATGCATAGGTCTCTGTTACAATCGTCGTGCATAGGTAAGAAGAGCTTATCATCACCTTCACTACCACCCCTATATAGTCGCCAAGACATTGCAAGTATGGGTTAGAATGAGGTTGGGTGACTTTGTAAAATCCACCCACTGAAGGAATACTAACCCAATCGGCTATATCTGTATCGTAGTTTTACTTCTACTGATCGCCCCTTTCTTTCGCTAGATACATTCCAGTAATTCTCGCTCATAACTCTTTTAGTAACTATCCAGTGTTCCGGTTGATCTTAAACTACTACGAAAGACTGAATGGTGACCAGAGTATTACCGATCCCGCCAGCGGCATTCAATATGCTTAACGGAGCTCATCCAACCCAGTTTACTAACTCAGCGCACCACAGTTCCCCGAAAACATGGGATCGTTGATCAAAACCAAGGAGCTAGCTGAAGAAAATTGATGTGTCAGTATTTATCGGATGCTGGAATCAATTCCGATGATCTTGAAGAGAAAGTGCTTTTAATTTGATGATATTAGATAGTTGGAGGCAATCGGCAAGGATTCCTGTAGATTGCATCCAACTATCTAATATCATCAAATCAATGTGCACCGTGATGGCGAGCTACCTAGGATGGTGGCCACATTGCAAAACTGACTGATAGAATTCAGTCTGCACCAAAGAAGAGATTTGACACGTCACACTAGTTACTAGTGTCCAATGAAAAAAGTGCTTTTAATGTTGTATGATGAGTGGATAATCACTCAACTAAATCTTAGGTCATATCTATGAATAAATAAAATTTAGTGACATAAATATCAGAATTAGCCTAATTTACTGTAAAGTATGAAAATTAGACAAGCTTCACATGACAAACATTGAATGTTGTATTTATATCAACAACGACTGTGAAATTCACGCAGAAATTCGAACGGGTCGCTCCAGCCGCGAGGCTTGTATTGTCACCGATAAGAATGCCAAATATTAAAGTGTTTTCTGGTAGCTCCAACCAGGATTTGGCTCAAAAGATAGCTGACCGTATTGGTTGTCGATTGGCGAAAGTAACTTCCAAAAAATTCAGCAACCAGGAGACAAGGTTAGTAAAGTCCTTGTGACATTTCTTTAGTACAAGGACAAAGTCTAACAAATGTACTCTTTTAGTGTCGAGGTTGGAGAATCAGTACGAGGAGAAGATGTATATATCATACAGACTGGCGGCGGAGAAGTCAATGACAATCTGATGGAACTGCTCATAATGATAAATGCTTGTAAAATTGCTTCTAGTTGTAGAGTTTCAGCAGTTATCCCGTGTTTTCCATACGCCAGACAAGACAAAAAGGTGAGTTTCCTGTTTAGATGCTGAAAGATGAATGGTTTTTTGATCGGTTTTGAGTTCGTTCTACAAATCATTTTTAGTTTTTATAGATAGTAAGTTTTGCTCCTAACTTTCATAATGAGTCATTATTTCCTCTGGTCTAATTGTGTTCTTCATAGTAGCACTCGTAGTACTAATTCTGAACTACCATCAAAGGACGCCAGTCCTCACAGACATGGAATATAATTGTGCACATATTTCGTTTACCACTATGATTCAGATTCATAATAATGATAGTAGGCTCTTGTTGCCTATGGTAATCCTTGTAGTATATATCTTCTCAGAGATCTGGTTCTCCTTTAAAAGCGTCCACCTATGGAGCTGTTACTACTGATTCAGGTAAGGAGTTCCAGTCATTGAGCACTCTGTAAGGGAATCTAAATTCCACATTTATTTTATTCGACCTTGGTTTAAACACCTTTTTGTGGTGACCACGTACATGTATCCTAGAGGGAAAGAAAAGATTAGAAAGGTCAGCCACTAAATCACCCTTTAATCTACAGTATTCCGAAATTAGTTCGACTCTCCTCCTTCGGCATGATAATCTGAAGAGATTTAAATGCTCCATCCTCTGATCACAAGAGAGGTGTGGGATACTACTAAATAATATGGTCCTTACCCTGTGTAATCTTTTTGAAGCATGGACTCACCGCTTGTATGCGGTATTCTAGATGAGGCCTGACGTGCGTTGCATAGAGTACTTGGAACATACCCTCGTCTAATCGCTTGAAAACCCTTCGAAGTGCCCAAAGCCGTAGCTACGGCTCCATTACAATTTTCCGTTGTTTTTAAGTCATGGTTCACAATAATTCCTAAGTCCTTTTGTCCCTTAACATCTGGCAGTTCTGTGTGTCCCAGGGAATACGACCTCTGACCTAGATGCATCACCGTACTTTTCTTGGAATTAATTTCCAGACTGCAGAGGTTAGTCCATTCAGCTAATTTACGTAGGTCGTTTTGTAGTACCAACCTATCATTGTTACTATATACGGTTTTCCATATCTTAATATCGTCCGCGAATAGTAAGGAAGATGAGGTAAGAATTTTCGGCAGTTCATTTAAGTATAATAAGAATAGCAAGGGGCCAAGTACAGATCCCTGAGGTGCTCCAATTAGTACTGCTTCCCACCATGACAGTACACCATTAACCCTTACCTTCTGTCTTCTATTCATCAGGTAGTTCCTGAACCACTCAAACAGACGTTCGTCTAATCCAAAACCCTTTTTACTTACTAAGGAGACCTAAATTAGATACCTTATCGAATTCTTTACTGAGATCGATAAAGACAACGTCCAGTGGAAGGTTCTTATCTTTGTCTTCGACCCAGTCTTCCCTAGCTAACAGTAAGTTTGTCAGGCAGGATCGTCCTGATCGGAATCCATGCTGTTCCACTGCCAGTAAGCCATGTTCCTCCATATGAGCTAAGAGCTGATCCCTTATGAGTGGTTGTAACACCTTTGCTATTATGCAGGTTAGACTTACAGACCGGAAGTTCAACACCAACTGCCTGTTCACCTCTTTGAAGATAGGGTTTTTTAAAGCATCTTTCCAGTCCTTGGGTCAGAGATATTTGAAAAATCCCCCTAAGCTGTATGTGTATTATATCCGCCAAGGAGATTAGCAGTCTAGGGTGAAGTCTGTCAGGTCCACATGATTTACCTGGCTTCAGCTTAGACAGTAGTTTGAGAACCACTGCATCCTCTACCACAATTGCGGGCATTTTAGTGGTTACAGCAGTAAATTCGCTATACTCCTGAGTGGTGTGATTAGATGAAAGGATACCGCAAAAGTATTAGGAGAGCTTTTCATCTTTTATTTCATCTGAGCCAGTCGCCTCTCCATT